GAGATGAATAGGTGGCCCTCTGTTTATTAATTTTTTATTATATATTATTTCAACATATAAAATGACCAATTTGCCCTCACATATAACTGCAAATTAAATAAAAGTTGAGATTTAAACGATAGGGGGGAAATTTGCAGTAAAAATTAGTTCGTGTACTTAATTTTCCCAAATAAAATAAAATTGAGGATGCAAATTGAAAATATCATACAACCCAAAGATTTTGATAACAATCTAATTTGTGGCCTGCCAGATTGCATCCGAGGTCTCACGGGGCTTGATCAACTTATTTTTGTTAGTAGCTTTGCCAACTTGCCGTGGTGAGTATATTCTTCCTTTTCAATTTTTAATCCCCTTAAATTTTCATATTGCCAAATGCAAAAGAAGAAAGGCAAAATAATCTGGCCCCTCCACTGCCACTTTCAACAGCTACCATTTGTGCTTCTAGAAAAGGGATGTCTCTTTTATTTCCTTAGCAATTGAGTGATGGATGACTAAGAGAAAGGGGCGGCTACATCTATAATTTATTTGCTTCACCAACCTCCTTCTTTACACGGTATCTTTGCAATATCCGAAGTAGGAAACTCAAGATCTATATTTTGGGTGAACAAGGCTTAGACACCAGCAATTAAGAGGTGGTAAAGTATTTTGAGTGATCATGGCTCGATTTAGGCACCAAGAAGCCTCCTCTTCCACTTCTTCTCCTTCTCTATGCTGTTATGACGTGTTCTTGAGTTTCAGAGGCGAAGACACTCGAAAGAATTTTACCGACCATCTCTATACAGCTTGTGTGGAGAAAGGCTTTAACACGTTCCGGGACGATGAAGAACTTGAGAGAGGAGTAGATATTAAGCCAGAATTGAAGAAAGCCATCCAACAGTCACGTAGTTCTGTCATTGTATTTTCAAAAGACTACTCGTCGTCCAGATGGTGCCTTGACGAGCTTGTCTTCATCCTTGGGCAGAAGAGGATCTCGGAACACGTAGTTTTACCTGTCTTCTATGACGTTGATCCTTCCCACGTGAGGAACCAGACAGGATGTGTTGCAGAAGCATTTGCTAGGCACGAAGAAAATCAGCTATCAACGAACAAGGTCAAACAATGGCGGGCAGCACTGAGAGAAGTTGCAGATCTATCCGGGATGGTCTTACAAAACCACGCTGATGGGTAACTTCATTCAAACTAGCTGTTCATTTCTTATTTAAATTCAAGCCATGCACTTTGATTACGTTAAGTTCAATTCACTAGTCTTGTCCTGTAGGGTTTAACTTTTAGATATATAATTTGAAGCTTTTCTTATATAAAAAATTCATCAACGATGCGCACATAATTATTTTCACACACACATATTACACTAGTGGTTAAAATTTCTAATGAATATCATGTGTTAATATCAATATAATTCTTTCAGTTTTCGTCCCATTGTTTCAGCATATCTGATAACTTTGGCGTGTTATTTGCACGAGAATTTGTAATTTAACTGTTTGAAATCATGCATGAAATGTTAATTAATTAAACATGATTTATTTTTCAATCTTGTTGCAATTGATAGGTACGAATCAAAGTTTATCATGCAAATTGTTAAAGTGATTGACAACAAACTCAGTCGCACGCCCTTTGCTATCGCACCCTACCCGATTGGAATTGATTCTCGAGTTGAAACTATTAATTCATGGTTACAGGATGGATCAACCGATGTTGGAATACTTTTAATTAATGGAGTTGGGGGAATTGGAAAGACAACCCTTGCCAAATTTGCTTACAACGTAAACTTTAGGAGATTTGAACGAAGTTGTTTTCTTGAAGATGTCAGGGAAATTTCAAACCAACCCAATGGTTTAGTTCACCTACAGATACAATTCCTTCACCACATTATGAGTGGAAGAGAAGTGAAAATACACAGTGTCAGTGAGGGAGTAAAAAAGATTAGAGATGCCATAATCTCTAAAACAGTTCTTCTTGTTCTTGATGATGTTGATCATATGGACCAGATAGATGCAATATTTTTTATGCAAGATTGGTTTTGCCCTGGAAGTAAAATCATGATAACAACTAGGTGTGCGGGATTATTAAGGGGTCATCAAGTAGCTAAAAGCAAAGTTTATGATGTTGAAACTTTGGATGTGGATGAATCATTACAACTCTTCAGCTGGCATGCGTTTGGCCAGGACCACCCAATTGAAGGTTACATTAGTCTGTCGAAAAGGGTAGAAGATCAATGTGGAGGACTCCCGTTAGCTCTTCAAGTTTTGGGTTCATCACTATCAGGACGACGTATAGATGTTTGGGAAAGTACATTGGAGAAATTAAAAACTATTCCAGACAATCAAATCATCAAAAAACTCAGAATAAGCTACGACGGTTTACAAGATAACCCTGATGACCAAAATTTATTCCTCCATATTGCATGTTTTTTTGTTGGACAAGGGAAAGATTATGTTGTTAGAATACTGGATGGATGTAATTTCTTCACAATTGTTGGCATTGAAAATCTTGTGAATAGATGTTTGGTAACAATTGATGATGAAAACAACGTGAAGATGCATCAAATGATTTGGGACATGGGAAGAGAAATTGTTCGGCTAGAATCAAAGGCACCTGGAAAACGTAGTAGATTATGGCGTGATAAGGATTCTTTTGATGTATTAAAGGAAAAGAGTGTAAGAAAGATTCTTCTCTCAAGATGCGATTTTTCTTGCACATGCATATATCCTTGCTGGTTACTTATCCAACTGTTTTTTTTTTCAGGGTACAGAAACAATTGAAGGTCTTGCCTTGAACATGCGTATGCTCTCGGTAAACACTCCTTCAGGCAATACGAATGAGGTGGTCTTGGAAACTAACGCATTTTCAAGGATGTCCAAACTAGAACTACTTCAGCTTTGTCATGTACGACTCAATGGATGTTATGAGGAATTTCCAAAAGGATTAAGATGGTTGTGTTGGCTTGAATTTCCATCGAAATCATTACCTAGTGAAATTCCTTTGGAGTGCTTGGTTTATCTTGAAATGCATCATAGTAACTTGAGACAAGTCTTTAACCGGAAAAAAAACTTGAGACAAGTTTTAAAGAAGGGAAGAAAGGTATCCTATCCTTGGTGGGAATAAATGCATCATACTCCATGCTTATCCATTTTATTTTGTTAATCTTATGTTTAATTTTGCATTTGTCGGATTTAACTTCACACAATCTTTCATTTTGTTTTTCCACAGCACCTTCCCTCGTTGAAGACCCTTGATCTAAGTCATTCTCTTAGCCTCACTGAAATCGGTAACTTCTCACTGGCCCCCAATTTAGAAAGACTGATTCTTAAAGATTGTGCGAGCTTGGTTGATGTTCATGAATCCATTGGAAACCTAAAGAGACTCAATTACTTGAATATGAAAGATTGCAAAAAGATTAGGAAACTTCCAAAGAATTTATTTATGCTAAAATCAGTTGATACACTTATTGTATCTGGATGCTCAAGTCTAAATGAGTTTCCGAAGGAGCTGAGGAACATGGAATCTCTTAAAGTGCTAAAGGTAACTCAAGTTCTGACCACCACTGGAAACGTCAAATCATGCCTGAGGAGAAATCCAGAAACTTTTTGGGCTTCTTTACCAAGTAGTTTAACACAATTAAAGCTCAAGAGTTGCAATCTTTCTGATGAGGCTTTTCCCAAAGATATTGGTAACCTACCCTCATTAGAACTATTAGATCTAAGCGACAATCCAATCTCTGGCCTACCAGATTGCATCCGAGGTGTTACACGACTTGATCAACTTCTTTTTTCAAATTGCAAGAGGCTCAAAACGCTTGTAGGGCTACCAAGGGCAAGATATTTTGGTGTGTTTGATTGTGCATTGTTGGAAAAAGTAACATTTCAATCAAGTTTGTTTGGATTCACACCGTTTGAAGTGCTTAGCATTAGTAACCCGAACTTAGTTGAGATTGAATACATGTACAAGTTAGAACCCCTTGGAAATTGTGATGTAGAAATGCTCGATCTTTTGGGTTTGTCCAAGTACTTGGAATCCATGGAAACCGTTTTGATGATCTTCCCATGTAGGATCACAGTGGAGTTGCGCCGTGCAGTTGAGAGTACGAAGCTGGATTGGATCAGAAGGTATCCCATCCAGGTGCTTCTCTTTCTCTCTCTCATATACATACATACATATATATATATATCTATATAGACACACATAGACACACACACACAACAATATCACAAGGAAGATGCTATTTGACTAATACTGGCTTACATATCTATATATAGGGACTTTATGAATCTGGTATATTCAGCACATTTCTTCCTGGGAATGTGGTGCCAGGCCACTTCAGCTATACAAGTAGAAAGTCTTGGTCAATATCTTTTAGTGTGCCTTCTTCTACTTCTACTTCTACTTTCAGGATTCGAGGCTTGAATGTCTTCTCTATATATACATGTTCTGGTAGTGGTTCTTATGCTGGTTACAGTTGTGAGATAATTAGTCCAATAATAATCAAAGTTAGCAACAAAAGCACGGGAATGAAGTGGATCTATGACCCGTCCTTAATCGGGAAGATGGGGAATCAATTATTGAAAGGTGGCGACCAAGTCACAGTTTCCATGTTCATGAGATCTGTCTTTCAGCTGAAGGAGTGGGGCGCCCAGCTTGTGCACGAGCAAGATCAAGAGACTATCAGGATGATAAGGACCCAACATGACGACAATGACAATGATGATGATGAGTGTCCAGTTTGTTTTCCATGTGTCATTTTTGGACGTTCGCCAGAATTCGAGGTGATGTCAAGAACATACTTCCTGTCGCACGGACCACAATCAAGGAGAGCACTGACGTTTACTCGTTGGAGGGATTCGGTTTTGTTTAATGACATATTTGGGGACTCTGATCAACAAGGTGGGCATGCATTTCTCTCATTTATATTCATTCAACACAAGTTTTATTGTGTTTGTTTATGTTGAGCGAATCCACGTTCGTATATCTATCGAAAGTTCTCCTCTCTTCTACGTCGACTAATCTTCTGCCAACTGCATTTTCAACAGAGGAACAAGCACTGCCGCTTGCAACAACAATGAGGGACGCCGGGAACAATAGATACTTTGTGTTTTCCATGTTGGCGGTAGATGTCCTGTACGACAATGTAGTTTTACGCAGTTGCCTTTTTGGAACTCAGTCGTGAGAGAAGAGGCCATAAGCTATCCATGAATTTGTTGTAGTTGAGTTCTATCTCCTTTGGGATTCTTTTTCCTCTGCCAGGTTCTCAATCCCACTTTCTTTTTCCTTGCGCTATGATGAGCTTATTTTCTGGTGTAATTTGGTATAAAAAGAAGGAAAATGAAAGAAAAACATATGAAACCGAAAGGACAAAAAGAACAAGGTTCATATGCATGACTGACAAGGTATCAAAGTTCATATGCATGACAAAAAAATTATATGATTTAACATGCCTTGTACTACCTGACTGGGGATTTGGCGTCCATTAAGGAAGAGGTGCTAGATACATTGAGCTTATACCCTGGAAGCACATGCACGTAAATCGAGAAAAAACTTGTCATGGTCCTCTCAAATGGAAACTCTTCCTTCTCCGGCACCATTGAAGCTCTCAAAAGAGCTCATCATCAGAGACATTCCGTGTGTCAAATTCTTCGGTTGAAGAACGTCTCCATGCTCAAACAAATCCTGGCCTAATTATTTTGTTGTACATGTACATTCACTAAAAGTTCTTCTAATTGTGGGGCTAATTCATTTTTTATGTAAAAAAAAAGTCTTATATAGCATTAACAACATTATGCTTAAGGTGGAAGAGGGGAAAAAAAATATAAGTGGGGGGCAATAGCTTATACTTGGCCTTTACTGGAACTGCCAGTGTTGTGAAGTTGGAGAATAACTTGTATATAATGGGATAACACTATTTTGATATTTCGAACCAATCACGTTTTGTCACGCATTATAAGAATTTCACGTGACGGATATAATTGAATACGGGGTATGTAAATTTTTATCGTAAAGTTTGGCTCTTTTTATGACAAAACAGTTAACTTTTGTGCTTCCTCGGGTTCAATCCATTACTTTGACTTGAGTAACAAATACTTTTTTATTAGAGCACAATTACATTTCTGTAAATGCCTTTGTAACCCTTTTTTTTTTTTTTTAAATCGTATTTAAAATGGAAAATATAAAAACAACAATTCAACACAAAGATGAGATGACACCCATTTCCTATATAAAGATTGGGCCCACAGCTATTAAATAATTTCGTACACTGCCACCGTCATCAACCCTCGCCAACATCAGATGACGCCCCAAAAAATCGGGTTTCATCCTTAATCTCCGTCATTGCGGCTAATTTTGAAGGGGAATGCTCCGTTCCTCAAGCATTAGGAGCAGGAGCTCCTCCCTATAGCTCCTCCATGTTTTTTTACTTGTGCTTGACTTTGTATCCATACACAACGTAATATCAAACACTTTTCCATTATCAGAACAAAGAATTCAAATAAGCAAAGAGTTTTATTTTATTTAGTGTCTAGTGATTAACTCAAAGTTTTTTTTTTTCTTTTTCCCTTTCTGTTGATAGGTTGTCAACTTGCCGTTCAACCTGAGGTGCTTTGTGCTGTTTCAACCTCCGGGCCTTAACTTGTTCGACGTAATGTCCCAGAGAGATTGTTTTTTATTCGGCCTGACTCCCTAACACCTTTGAGGTATGTTTGTTCAAACTCTAGATGCGTAGTGTGGTGCAGTACATGTTTGTGGCGGGAAATTACATGAACTCAAATTATATGTTTATAAAGGATCAAAGTGTGTTTCAAGTTGATGATGATATTTTAATTTTTAAGTACCTTGTGGTGTGCTTACTTGGGTGGTGTGATTCAAGGTTTAACAGGTCAACTTTAGAAAGCATAAATCACTTCAAATAGAAGCAAAAAAGAGAAGTTTTATGTTTAAGAAGACGTGGGCGATTCCTAATAACTATTTTTACTTTTGCAATTAGATCTAATGATATATTTTTTTTGTAGTCCTTTATATATCTCGTGCATTGAAAATGGTATCACCAAAAAGGTAAATTTAAAATGTCAATTAATAAACTTCATTTTTAATTTTTATCGCCTTTGATTTTCATATTGCCAAATGCAAAGGAAGAAAAAGACAGCTCTTTGTTTAACTTATCACTAAGAAAGGCAAAACTGGCCACTCCACGACCACTCTTACCAGCTACCATTTGTGCTTTTGTCTTTTATTTTCCTTTGCAATTGTGTGATTTATGACTAATAGAAACAAGCGGTAACACTGTCCTTCATTTATTTGCTTGACCAAGACATTCACCACCTCCTTTACACGGTATCTTGGCCATATATGAAGTAGTAACTCAAGAGGTAGCCTTAAATTCCACTCAGACTCAGAGACACCAAGCAATTAAAAAATGATTTACTATTTTCTGTGATCATGGCTCGATTTAGGGAACAAGAAGCCCCCTCTTCCAGTTCTTCTCCCTCTCGATGTTGTTATCATGTGTTCTTGAGTTTCAGAGGCAAAGACACTCGAAGGGCTTTTACCGACCATCTCTACACAGCCTTTGTGGAGAAAGGCTTTCCCACATTCCGGGATGAAGAAGAACTTGAGAGAGGAGAAGATATTAAGCCAGCATTTGAGAAAGCCATCCAATAGTCACGAAGTTCTGTCATTGTATTTTCAAAAGACTACCCGTCTTCCAGATGGTACCTTGACGAGCTTGTCTTGATCCTCAAACAGAAGAGGATCTCAGACCATGTAGTCTTACCAGTCTTCTACAACGTTGATCCTTCCCACATGAGGCACCAAACAGGAAGTGTTGGAGAAGCATTTGCTAGGCATGAAGAAAATCAGCAATCACCAAACAAGGTCAAACAATGGAGGGCAGCACTAAGAGAAGTTGCAGATCTAGCAGGGATGGTCTTACAAAACCAAGCTAATGGGTAACTTCATTCCAACTATTCCATTTTTTATTCAATTTATTTTTTTTATAACTTGAATTAGATATTATAATTCATCAACTCTGCTGATATTCCTGTGTCTCCAAAATACTGAATACGTCTAAAAGGACTAAAGAGTAGTATACTTCTATCATTATGATGGAAGAATGAAAGGCTAATTAATAATTCAAAGTTGAATTTAAAAAACTTCTACAACATATATAATTAAGTCAAGGTGCCTGATACGATGACAATCACTTTAAATGAGATCAAAAGCAAATTATAGTTCAATGATCCCTAGTCATTAGATTCCCCATTTACACACATTGTATTACACTATCAGTTAAATTTTCAATAGTATGTGCTATTTTTCTATCCCCAATATCATGTATTGATAATCCCATTGTTCCTAGTACATTATTTGAAAACTTTGATATGTTATTTGCATGAGACTTTGTAATTTAATGATTTGATATCATGACATGTTATAAATGTTACTTGTTTTTCAATTTGATTGCAATTCTTAGGTACGAGTCAAAGTTTGTCAAGCAAATTGTTAAAGTGGTTGACAAAAAACTAAGTCGCATGCACACACCCTTTATAGTTGCATCCTACCCGATTGGAATTGATTCTCGAGTCAAATATATTAATTCATGGTTAAATGATGGATCAGCTGATGATGGTATAATTTTAGTTAATGGGATTGGCGGAATTGGAAAGACTACCATTGTGAAATTTGTTTATAATTTAGACTTAGAAAATTTGAAGGAAGTTGTTTCCTTGAAGATGTCAGAGAAACTTCAAGACAACCCAATGGTTTAGTGCAACTGCAACTTCAATTTCTTTATCATATTTTAAGTGGAAGAGAAGTGAAAATACATAGTGTTAGTGAGGGAATAAATAAGATTAGAGATGCCATAATCTCTAAAAGAGTTCTTCTTGTTCTCGATGATGTGGATGATATGCACCAAATAAAATCAATATTTGGGATGCTAGATTGGTTTTAACCACGTAGTAAAATAATCATAACAACTAGGTATGCTAGTTGCAAAGTTTACAACGTTGAAACTCTGAAAGCCAATGAATCACTGGAACTCGTCAGTTGGCATGCTTTTGGACAAGCCCATCCATGTGAAGATTACATGAAACTTTTAGAGATGATAGCAGACGGATGCAAAGGACTTCCATTAGCTCTTCAAGTTTTAGGATCTTCTCAATTTGGACGAACTATAGATGTATGGAAAAGTGCACTAGAGAAATTAAAAGCTATTCCAAATAATGAAATCCTCCAAAGACTCAGAATAAGCTACAACGCTGTACAGGATAACCCCCATGACCAAAATTTATTCCTTCACTTGCATGCTTCTTTGTCGGAAAGAGAAAAGATTATATTGTTAGAGTACTAGATGGATGTGATTTCTTCACAATTGTTGGCATTGAAAATCTTCTGGATAGATGCTTGGTAACAGTTGATGAAAATCAGAAGGTGAGTATGCATCAAATGATCTGTGACATGGGAAGAGAAATTGTTCACCTAGAATCAAAGGAGCCTGAGAAGCGTAGTAGATTATGGAATGATACGGATTCCTTCAATGTATTGAGAGAAAAGAGTGTACGAATCATTCTCTTCTTATGTATATGCATGCATTTTTTCCTTTTGGGGCCTATATATATTGCTGCTTGCTTATCCAAATGTGGTCTTTCTTACCACTGGAAAGGTCAAACCACGCATAGGGAGAAATCCAGAAAGTTTGTGGTCTTTCTTACCACGTTGTTTAGCACATTTAAACATCAGGAGTTGCAGTCTTTCTGATGAGGCTTTTCCCAAGGATTTTGGTCACCTACACTCATTAGAATTCTTAGGCCTAAGCAAAAATCCAATTCGTGGCCTACCACATTGCGTCCGAGGTCTTAGGGGGCTTGTTCGACTCGTTATTACCCAGTGCTATAGTCTCCAAACACTTGAAGGGCTACTAATAGTAAAAAATTTCGCTGTGGTTGATTGCAGTTTGTTGGAAAGAATAACATTTCAATCAAGTTTGTGTGTACCTATAGAATTGCTTAGCATGCAAAACCCCAAGCTAGTTGAGATTGAATACTTGTACAAGTTTGTACCCATTGCAAGATGTGATGCAGAAACTATCAAACTTTTGGGTTTATGCAACTTGAAATTTAAGGGAATTACCATTCGAATGTTATTCCCAAGCAGGAATAGCATATTTGATGAGGTCTATAAGTATCACATCCAGGTGATTCTCTCTCTCTCTCTCTCATATATATCACATGCAACATAAGATTTGACCAATGTTTTGATTTCTATGGCATGCGTATATTAGGTACTATATGAATATCAGCACTTTTCTTCCTGTGAATGTGGTGCCAGGACAATTCAGCCATAAAAATAGAGGCTCTTGTTCAATATCTTTTACTATGCCTTGTTCTAACCTCAGGATTCGAGGCTTGAATATCTTCTCTGTATATACAGTCAATGATGGTGATTTAGATCCTGGTTATAGTTGTGACAAAATTAGTCCAATAGTCACCAAAGTCCATAATAAGAGCACGGGAATGAAGTGGATCTATGACCCGTCCTTAATCGGCTTTCCAGATTTAGGAGAAGACATGATATTCTTAAGCCATTGGAGTTTGGGGAATGAACTGAAAGGTGGTGACCAAGTCATAGTTTCAATGTTCATGAGATCTTTGTTTCAAGTAACTGAGTGGGGCATCCAGCGTGTACACGAGCAACACCAAGATCAAGAGAAGATGATGATTATGATTGCCCAACAAGACGACAACGCAGTTCCTTCTTTTCCGTCTATCGTTTTTGGACATTTGCCAGAATTTGAGATGATACCAAGAACATACTCTCTCCAATGGACCATTATCAAGGAGAACATTGACATTTGGGCATTGGAGGGAGTCGGATTTGTTTGATGACATATTTGGGGATGGGGACTCACACTACTCTGATGAAGAAACAGGTGTGTGTGTGTGTGTGTGTGTGTGTGTGTGTGTGTGTCTCTCTCTCTCTCTCTCTCTCTCTCATTTATATGCAATTTAGATCCACATTCATATCAAAAGTTTTGCTCTGATCCACGTTCTGGCTCTGGCATTAATTTTCATTTTGATGAACAGACAAACAAGTGCTGCAACAAGGTGTCCAGAACAAAATCCAAAAGGTTGAACCACAAAGTAGGCTGCACACGTATCATGTCCTGTTCATGTTACGTGTCCTCTACGACAATACACTACTGGCAAGTTGTGCAACTTAGGATTATAGGCATGTATGATTGGGTTTTTTATGTTGTGTTTATCCTTGAACGCAAGAGTACATGTAGTTACCAGTCTTATAGGGTAACTACACCTGAGAAAGCGGACAGCAAGTGTCAAAGGAGGGAGGCATTTGCTCGACATGAAGAAAATCATCAATCAAGGTCAGACAATCTGTTGGAGAATACAATACAAATACAATTTTGGAATATCATTGAAAGATGAGTTTCAATCTTGCTTTTTTTTCTTTATGGTCGTTTTCAATCTTGCTTCTCGTTAAAATATGAGCGAAAAACAATATTTGGTATACATATATGTTAACGCCTTTGTGAAACCCACAGAACCCATTTCCTGTAAATATTTTACACTAAAAAGTCATACATTTGACCAAGCCCTCCCTCGGCAGGGCCAACGCATGGCGCCAATCGAAACTGCAATGTCGAAACCAAGTCAAAAAGTTGCCCCGCGCACAGTATGGCTTGGGCGCCAATTGAAATTGCAAAGTTTAAAACCAAGGCAAAAAGCCGCCCGCCCAAAGTTTAAAACCACCATATGGGGGATTTCACATCGAGAACATATAGGTTTTTCCTTTTCAAATTCAACCAAAAACCAATTTGAACCAACCAATTGTTACTTTAAAACCTAATTACATGCAAACGAAGACATTGATTCAAGAAACATAAGGGCAAATGCAATGCCCCAAACCAATTTCATCAACCTAGGGGCATTGTTTCAAACACCATTAGGGCACAAAGATCTAACATCATTTACACGCCCAACTCCAGCACATGGACATTGGAACAAAATTCACGTTACACAAACCATCATTAAGTACAACATGGGATTTCATTTCAAATTTGAGATCACAATATTGCAGGTATAATCCATGCCAGTGCAGAATTCAGATCATATAAACCATAGTATTTCGTTGAAAGAACTGATAGTGAATTACATATCTACTAAACTGAAACCCTAAAACTAAACACTAGACATCGAAAAACTACATATCCAGAACAGAGCAGAACCCACCACACTTCAAGAACTTGTAAACTTGGTCACCGCCTTGGTCCCCTCAGACACCGCGTGCTTAGCGAGCTCACCAGGAAGCACAAGCCTCACAGCAGTCTGGATCTCCCGAGAAGTAATGGTCGGCTTCTTGTTGTACCTTGCAAGCCTGGAAGACTCCTGGGCGAGCTTCTCAAAGATGTCGTTGATAAAGCTGTTCATGATGCCCATGGCCTTGCTGGAGATCCCAATATCAGGGTGAACCTGCTTCAGCACCTTGAAGATATAGATCTTGTAGGTCTCTACGCTCTTCTTCGATCTCTTTTTCTTCTTATCTCCGGCGGCGGCTCCGGCTTCCTTGGGTAGCTTCTTGCCGGCCTTGGGCTTCTTCTCGGCCGGGGCTTTCTCAGCCACAGTCGACTTCTTCTCCTCCGCTGGCTTCTTCTCGGCGGGCTTCTTCTCAGCTTTGGGCGCCATTGGAGTTGTGAGAGAAAAGTTAGGGTTTGGGAATTTGGGAGTTTTCGAAACGAAAGGGATACGATTCGATTAGAGAGAACAGGAGATTAGATCTTTGCTTGAGAATCAAAGTGGTGGGATGGATTATTTATATAGGTGAGAGTAGGCTTCTGTCATTGGTTAATTGAGGCTTACGCGGATCGGTGATGTGGTTATTGTTATTGGCCGTGGGATTTGGGTTTCGTACAGTTCCCGAATCGACGATTGAGATGTGTTGAATTCTTTAAGCGGATTGGGGATGGATCGCTGAGTTGGCGTGCGAAGGGGCCGTGGATTATTTTTGCGTGAAGTAAGTAATGGATGGTTAAGATGATGTAATTTATTCGGTGCGGGTCGATTCCGCCTCTGGTTAGTTCTCATGTACATTGAAGTCTCGTGTAATCTCCTAGGCCATCTCCAACCCAAATGGGGCTAAACTCAAATTTCCCCCCTTAGAAATACAACTATTCATGTATTACTCGGACTCAAATTATTTTTTCCTCCAACCATGCATACTCATAATTTGAGTCTATAACTTTATTAAATTGTTTCAAAATGATTAACCTCTATTTTTTTTTTTGGGTTAATTTTTCTTCACATTATTTTTATTTCAACATTCATGATTTAATTTTATGAACATTTTAACCTAAAAAAATCCAAAATCCAAAACATAATATAATTTCACTTAAAAATCAAAACATATTAAGATAAACCATAATTACAATTAAGATAAATGATAATCACAAAATTATTTTGGGTTGAATTTGAATTAGAGTAATTATAAAAATTAATTTTGCCGTTGAATTTAAATTTCAGCCATGGGATGTGAATTTTTCCCATTAAGATTGTTTAAAAATATGCTGTCCATTGATTATATGTAGAATGAAAAACAAAAAAAAAATAAAATTGACACAGCAACTTAATGCAGCCATTGGATTGAAACATATAATTGTTCAGGGCTTGACAAGTGGCATGGGTAAGTTGACAACAAGTGGTCCATGTAGCTGGGGTCTTCACGTGGCTGCTTGGTTTGATGCGAGTTGGGCCCCACAGCAGTTCCGCCTGGACTGGAAAGCTGGGCCAAATAGCGCCCAAGATTTCAGTCTGCCTAAAATTCCCCCCCTCCCTATACATGCGTTGGAGATGAAATGGGGCCAAATTTTGAGATTTTTTTGGGTTTAGCCCCAGGGTTGGAGAAGGCCTTACATAGTCATTTGGCCCATAGGGCATCTCCAATCATAAAAATGGGCTAAACTTAAATTTCCTTCAATTATTTTACGAATTCTTACCCATCTCATATTTTCTTGTCTCAATCATATTATGAATCTTTGAACATCTCTTTTTATATCAACTTTATTGGATCCCCTCATCTTTTCATATTTTCATTAAATTATGATAAGACATGTATGTTATCTCGTTTTGTCATCTTTTCATTATTTCATGCGCGGGAATCTTTGTTTACCTTACTTCTTATCCCTTTGTATCTTATTTTGATTTCCTCTCATCTTCCTTTTCAACCTCATCCCCTTGTTTATTTAACAAGAGTTATTATATCCAACCAAACACACAATTTCCTTCAGTCTTCATAGTTTGAAGATTGATGCCAATTGCCTCATATTCATAGATACACACCCACCCTCTGCATAATGTCTCATCTTTATTTCCCAATTGACACCTCTTTAGGGTTTTGGTACCATATTCAACAACAAAGAAAGGAGAATGAAAACAAATAAGAAAGTGAGAAATGTTAAGAAATTGAACTAGGTGGATTATTTAACCAAATGATTGTTATTTATAGATTTTGAATGAGTTCAGGGGTTGGATTTGATTTAGATTAAGGCTTTTTATCCTCAAATGGTCCATGAGGTTTGCGAAATTGTCACATTTCGTCCTTAAGGTTTTTGTGTGACAATAATGGTCCTTAAGGTTGCTATCTATGCATCAATTTAGTTTCTCCTGTTAGTTCCGTCAAATTTTCTATTAAGTTGCTGACATGACACATATGTGGAATCCACACGTCCAATGATATAGAGCCATGTGGCGTTAAAAAAAAATTAAACTAAAAATCCATTAAAACAAATTTTAAAACAAAATAAAGTTTTTTTTTTTTTTTTGGTGTGGAAAAACTCTAGTAGGTTTGAGGTTTTATCACAAAAAGCTTCGATGTTATTAGAAGTGGAACCACTTATTTGGTAGTTTATTTAGTCAAGTTTACGATGTGAAACTTTATATTTTTCAACATGCCCCCTCATATGGGACCACCACATAGTGGGCCACACATGGAGCCAAGTCCACATCAAAGTTAATCATCAGGGTCTATGTGCATCGGAAGATTTATAGGTTATAGTTTGAGTCGGAGTCAATCGGGTCGATGGCAATACCCAATCAAGGTGTGGCCGGTTTGGGTCAAGTCTAGGGCTTGTTTGGGAGTGCTTTGGAGCAGCGAAAAGCGTTCCTAAATGGGTGAAAGTGCTTATGTCTTTTAAAAATGGTGTTTGGCAAAAATTGCAAAAATGCTTTGGGTGAGATCAAAAAGCACTTGGAGTGGTTTTGGAATGAGCACTTGAGAGGTGATTCTTCCTAAAAGCGTTCCAGGACAAAAACACGGGAAGTGACAGGACCCGTCCCGAATTTCCCAGAACCCGAGACGAACCCTGCGGAGACCCCGGCATCACCCCCATGCCGGGTTCACTCCTTAAATCTATGTCCTCGTTTACCAGAGAGGATTAGGGGCACGAGACCTCCTGCCGAAATTTCGGCAGAGTCTCCCCTGTAAATTGAACATTTCCCCAAAATTTCCACCTGCATAAAACACATTTATAACCCAAATGCCAGCATGCACAATATAATCTCATGCAATTTACAAAAATGGCCTCCGGCCTTCAAATGATTCTAGCAGAACTGCCCACAAAGTTCTTAAAATAACTTAATGCATCAAACATGCATATAACAACTTCAAAATCTAAAAACGCACACCTTCACTTGCTCAGTCCACAGGACGAGTCTCAATTCAACCAAGTTTTGGGACCAACAACGAGGTCCAACCCAAACTCAATAAGACCACCTAAGTGGGGTCTAATCTGTGGCTGCACCTAGTAACTTCAGGCTGCCTACGTACCCTACTAAGGGATCAAGCCACACGTAGCTCTTCCGTATCTATCCTGGCTCCTAATATCAAATAAACCATTACCACCACACAATTACATACATTCTAATATTTATCCATCACAACCCATCAAACACAATCACAGTATCACCCCTCATACGACGGGACGCACCCGGCCTCGTATGGGG